CTCCGGCAGAGTTTTTTATCAGTTTTATCAGACGAAATGAAGAAAATTACTAGCTTTTTCAAGCCAAACGAAGGTGAGTAGTTGTTTTAAGTTGATAAAAGTTTTATATTTTGTCTTTCTCCTTTCGAATCAATGAAATATTCGATGGCAAGAAGAATTACATTACTTGAACAGTGAACGGCCATAGTTAGAAATTTTTCAGATCACTTCAGTGTAGTATTTTCTATACTAAAATTGTAATCGCGTCTTTTCTTGCATTGAATCTGAACTGACCGTGTATGTTGGTCGTTTATTAGAGTTAGCTGGGACTTCGTCAAAGTCTGTAAGCTCTGCAGAAAAGACGACAACTACTTGCAGTGAAAATGGTGAGTTTGAGTTTGACCAGTAAACATTTCAATATATTGTTAAAAGTTTCATTTTTTGGAAGTGCGAGTTGTTTCTGACTAATATTCGTTAAATGTAATTGGATTTTTGGTGATGGGTTATATATTTATTCTATTTATAATATTCTACTTATTGTCAGCAATCCTGTAATTTAGCATACACATTTCTTGGACGGAATGAAAATCGTATGAAGAATTTCGGTATCTTCACTAATGCCGACCTAAAAAGAGCAACAAATACTGGATAAAGTATGCAAAGTCACGCGACAGAAACAAATCAAAATACTATGATTTTATTCCTTTTTTCGATTTTCGATACGAAAAAAATCATTTTCAATTGTCAGCCCTCCCACTTTTCACCTTGCTCCGCGGTCCCTGTAATGTCTTTCTTCACTGCTTGGAAAACGCCACCATGGTTGTCAGGTCACACTAAAACCTTAATAAGAGGGGAGCGGAGACCATGCAACACTGTACATTAGGCCATGATAAAAGTAACATCTAAATGGCTAAAATTGTCAATAACATAAGAATTAATCTAAATGAAATGATGTTTTTAGCTTGCCGGCTCAGGTGCCAGAAGTAATTCCGCTTCGGAAAGCCTTCTGGGAGATGCAGTTTACATTGTTCAAACGCCGCACACTTAATTCATATTCTTTTAAATTGCAAATGTACATTTGGGCGCGGAGGAGTCAATGAGGAGTGGGCTACCGTCCCCGCTGTGCGCTTTTTTCTACGCGGTAAGGCGGTTTGCCATATTATGAAGGAGCAATTATTTCCAGCCCAAAAGCGCCTCTTCCTGATTTTTCTGTTTTGATCAGTCTGCCTGAACCGACTGGTTAACATGTCCATTAACACACGAGCTACTTTGCTCCAAGTCGAAAGATCTTGATCTTCCGAAATAGCAGCATCGTTCGCAGACTGTAGAAAGCGAGTCTCCGCTATTCTCAGATTCTGATCTTCTCTGCGCGACATGGTCTTTGATGGGAGGGTAAATTATGCAAAGAACAGGAATCAAAGCAAACAGCGTGTAGATGACGTAACCCCATGCAGGATATTGAAGGTACTTGATTTTCGCCTATAGAAGAAGTTAAATATACAATGGGCAGTTATCCGTTCTCTGATACTATTAATTATAAAATTAAATTTAGTAAACCTATTTTAAAAATCTACAACATTCATAATAATCTTACTGAAGCTTAATAAAAAGTTACGGAAAGGAACAGGAACTTTTACTGGCTATTAAGATCACGATTTATTTTCTATTTGGTTACGAGTAGACGTATTTATTAAAATCCATCTAGTGGTCTACGGTCTATTATCAATGCTGCGTTTTCATTGGTTAAGCTTCTACTAGGCTATACGTTAGTAGCGAAAAGTGCCAGCTTTGAAAACCAAAACAATGGCGGCTGAATCATGTTTTGCTAGCTAAAGTTGTTTTGTCACGATATTTTTGACCAACTAGTTGGATTTTACCAAAAAACAATTATTCCTCTCTCCCTCATGGCCTCTGAGTCAATAGCCCATGAGGCCTCTATTGACTCAGAGCCCATTCGGGCTCGAGGAATAATTGTTAAATATAGAGAGTTATGGAATGTCATTCGCTGAAAGCTATCAGCATGCAGAATCGAAGTCCCTATATATCAGACAATATTCGAGCATTCAAAATGAAACATACTCTTCATCAGAATCATTCTTTAAATGAAAATAAGAAACAGTGACATTGAAAGCTCGAGCGGTTTCTGGTCGTTTTTTCTGTTCTGTGAACAACATAAAATTGCTTCATATTGTCCCTCTCCATGCAGAAAAAATGGGGTAACCTCCGACTGCAACGCGGCGGGTGCTGGGGTGAGCTAGGTCTAACGTGGGGTGGAAAAATAATAGCCTTATATTAGCGGCTTCTTGTAGCCTCTTGAAAACTGGCAGACAAATGGTGTTCACGCCAGCTGATAGAATGCACAAAACCCTGAGTTCAATAATTAATTTTTTTAAAGAAAATCACCTTATTCCTATCCCAGGCTGTGTATGTATACCTTCCATCAGCCATGTCTCGGATCATCTGTACTAATCCTCCAATTATTACACTGAGTATGATCAGCGGTGAAATAAACTTCCAGCATATGTGCCATCTTCTTTTTACTCTCTTCCCAGTCATTAATGAAAGATCCTTTGAAAATCTATAGGTTCAAATGACATTTCAGAAAGATTTTTATGTGAGACTTAAACATGTTAAAGAATTAATGAAATCCTTAATGAATCCTGAATGAATTTTTAGACACACTCCAGGGGCGGATCCAGGATTTTTTTTAGGAGGGGGTGCACTCGTCTCTCGCTCTACTTCAACACCAATAAACCACATAGTTTTGTTTTTTTTTTGCAGAATACCAATTGTATTAGAAAACCGCAGGTCATCTCAGGGGAGGGTGCGCACCCCCTGCACCCTCCCACTAGATCCGCCCCTACACTCAAATAAAATTTCAGTCTTCATCAAAGAAAAGTACAAAAATAATGGAAGGTTTGCAATAAAATACTGACGCTTGCATTAAGGCGCGAAAGCGGACAGATATGCAACCGTAAGATAGTTGGTTACAACAATAACCGGACTTTTCGACAACTTGTCGGGATGTCATCATCAGAGTCAAAATGGGTGCTTACTACCTCTCACTGTAGTGGTTGATTTCCACTATCGCGTAACTTTTCCGTACGAACGCGCGTAAATGAAATAGTGACAATGTATGAAAGGCCACTGGTAAACGTAAAAGCTGAGGGAGGTTTAACTTTTATGTTTACGCGTGACCTTCCATACATTGCCTCTATTTTATACCCGAGCGTAAGAATAACGCGACAGCAGAAATCCACCTTAAAACAATAAATAACCTTAATTTCCTCAGTTCAGTTTGAAGAGCGGATTATGTAGTACCTGTCTACTCCGTAGATGTAAGTTACACCCACACACTCCACCAGGCCAGTTAGGAGCAGGGGAATGGAACTAGCGGAACTGATAATCTCTAACAAGTAAAAGCCAGTTGACTGTACGAATAATAGGTTGCTGATACACATGGCCAGACAGAATAAGCCTAAGAAACATGAAATAAAAGAGAAATAGTATACTTAAAGTTCGCCCCGTGTATGAGAATCCGAATTCTGGACTCCGGGAAACTTTTGCATGTGGAATGTGGAATCCGGAATCCTTGAATTTGGAATCCGGAATACAGCTCAAGGAATCCGGAATCCCACTAACGATTAGAATCCAGAATCCAAGTACCACTGACAAAGAATCCGGAATCCAGTGCCTCGAATCCGCATTCCAAGACTGTCTTGTCAAATTCCCTTACATGGGACGAGAGATCGAATATACACCGGCGCGCAGTCTCTCTTAGCGCCGATATTAAAAGCCTAGGTCTAGCCGCACGTACCCTCCCCCCGATCTTAAACAGTCCTTTCTCTAACCACTCGCCGTCCCCCATATCAAACTGAATTTGCACTGGTGGATTGGAAGCTTTCGTCCCCTAGCTTTGGTCGACAATGCGAGGGAAGTAAGTGGCGGTGGTCTGCAGACAAGAGAAGGATGGTAAAAGTTGGATGCGTACTTTTTTGCGCGAGATTGCAGGACTGAAGTGTTAACAATCAAGCCTCTCTAAGACTGACACCTTTGGGACCAACATAAGTGTCTGTCTTATAGAGAGTCAAATAGAGAGAGTAAAGAAAGGCAGGGTACGTAAAAAAACATGAAAAAATGAAGGGGGGTGGTCTATCTCTGTAAGTATGCAACTTATTGACAAGAAACTTACGTGAGAGCTTAAACGAGTTGTAAAGATTAAGTCTGAATGAAAGTTGTCAAGATAAGGATCACGTGACTCACTGAGTTATCCAATTACTATTTTGACTTGAGCCCATCTGCAGGAGAACTTATGCACACTTATCTTAACAAATAACGCGCGGAAAGTGTTTTGCGTATCGGACGTATCGGGATGTACACGAAACTAACTGGAAGGCATGTCCAGGCCACGTGGTCATTGAAATGTAATGATTTCTCAAACATTCATCAAGGGTAGGCATACGACCATTCCAGTTAAATTTGGAAAGTACGTTAGTTAGGTAAAAACAACACCTATAAAAATGCCTAGTAAAAGTTTTTTTTACACTGCCTGCAGAATCCTTAGAGAAAAAAATACGGAAGTGAAGCGTTACTTGGTCACGCAACACGTTACCATGGTGATGTCAATCTCAAAAATACTATCTTAACAAGGATAATGCAATGACCACTTCTCACTCTTGCCACAAATTTTTATTTTGAAGATAGACCACCCACTTATATTTCAGACCAAAAAAATAGCAGACTACCTGAGATAAGAGAGAGTCGACTGTAGTAACAATATTAAGTCAATTAAACATACCGCAAAGCAGTTCTTTTCTCCATTGTGACGTAAATAGTTTTATTTCTTTAAAAGTGATAAGGACGATCTCAATCATACCCAGCATGCTTGAGGAACCAAGTAGAAAGAGAAGAAAATAGAAGAATGAGGACCACAACGATGGCGACCAAGGCATCTTAGGGAATGTTCCGCTTAATCCTGCAAACCCGAGGGATAACCCTGGTGGAAGCTGAAAGACATAACCACGGAGAAACAACTTTAATAATACGCATTGGGAACCCAAGTGTTATACAGTCTGTCTATTAATACAGGCAAGCTAAAAAATCCTTTCAGAGCTGTCTCTAATATTTAAAGTTGCTGGATAAGAAGTTCTTTTGGTTCTGTTTTCCTCTCGTTTCCTTTGAAAGTAACCTGGAGGGTCATGCTTATATGTAGCCGCCGTGAAATCCCGGCCCCGGGCCCTAAGTGACACCCCTGTGTCTATTTTCCTTGCCGGCTACCCCTGAACCTTTCTGTTCGGGACACTCTCAAGCCGTATCTGAAATTTATTTTATAGATAATCAGAGGTTTACCTACCTGTTTAAATATTTCTTCTTTGCTACAGGAGCCGTTGTTGCCAACAGAAGCGTTTCGACTCATTTCTTTACATTCCTTGACTTCATAACTCGCTTTAAACCCAAATAAAGAGAACATGATGATGCTCGCCCATAGCGATGTCCCACAATTCCCCAGGGCGCTCATGACTGCGTCCATGTAGAAGTTGTTGTTGGGCTTGTGGCCAGTGGAGAAGAGAGTTAAAGTTCCAAACCCCACCCCTAGAGAGTAGAAGATTTGTCCTGCAGCGTCCATCCATACGACTGGATCCTTGAGTCTTTCCCACTGCGGAAAATCATAAATTTGATTGAGCTCTGTTGGTCACCATATGGGGTTGCGCGTCTTAACTGGTCGGTTCTGTGTTTGAATAGTCCATTTTCGAGTTCGTTAAGACCGCTGAATTAAAGAAGTGAAGACGCTTTTTTTATAGCCTTAGCCTCCATTTGAAGTAATATATTCACAAATTCTAACGAAAAAAGGACCTGTTTATAACTCTCTCTATTGTGTATATTCAAATTTCAGACACTTACTTGCCAGAATTTCTGAATATTTTACTTTACGTCGAGGCTAACCCTGTACGAATGTGTCGTTAATGTTTGTATTCAGCAGTAATTTTTAATTCGAAACTGGACTATTGTATTATAGGAGAAAGAATACGCCTTCCCTTCTCTTACATCCGAAAGCTTGCCAGCAAGATTGGTTGAATCTTCCTCAAGAATACTTCACTGAAGGGTGAGTTGAGGTATTTTAATTCAGGATTAGATCTGAACGTCTCTTTACGCATTGATTTGTTAATGCTGAGGAACATCTACTCTGCACTAAAAGTCCTTAGACTCTTTCCGATGCATCTGAGTTATGAATAACTTGCTGCTTAGATCATCCTTACATTTGAATGGTTATTCTAAATGACTGTGCTATTCAGACGACTAGATTGCATCTCAAAGCTTTTCTCTTTTATCAAGAAAATGCATTAACTAATTTCAAACTAATGTAGCAGTCGTGTTGGCATAGTTTCATAAAACAAACCATAAGATTACCACAAAGGATGCTCGCCCCTAAAGGGCAGTATTACTTTAGAGACTATCTTGTTAGCCATTTAGCGTGCTGTCTCTATGAAGAAAGCTTGCTTATAAAGTCAATAATGGCCGATCCCGACTTAGCCTGATAGTCAGACGTCCGAGGTCGTTCGCGGTCCTAATCCCGACTTTGAAGTAAGGCGTGGCCTGCTCTATGACCGAAACGAAGCACCTCTGTGCTATGGCACCGCGGAACTCGGTTTTCATGTAAATATGGGGAGTGGGCGTTATTCTTGTAAGTCCGCCACTAATATTGATCACGGAGAAGCAAACCTCTGGGATGAAAAGTACAGCTAATCCTTCGGCCCAACCGTCCAGATGAACACCAAGAAAGAAAAAGATAACAAGGCTGATGATGATGAACGTTAGAGTCACGATTAAAATCTGTAAAATAACAAATATATCCGTGTTAATGGATTAATGCAAACCCAGTTATGTAATGCGCGTTTAATACTCGGTGATATGAAGGAAACGAATTCGGCTTTTGAGTATTACAGGAGTCAGCGCGGCCAAATGGTCAGTGCGTCTCACTTGCAATAGAGAGATTGTGGTTCTGAATCCCACACTGATCATTTTCTGGATCTCTTTCTTGGCAGCGACGAGCCGGTCAACCGCAACCTCGTCCCCAGGGCTTTTCCCGTTTTTTAAGGGAAAAGCCCTGGGGACGAGGTTGGGTCAACTGCTAGGCCTTTCAGAATAATTGTTTGTGATTATTTTACATAAATAAATGTATGAGAAAATCTCTGGGATGAAAAGTAGATCTTGATCTCGTCCTTGTCGCCCGGTCCGTAGTATTAAGACCTCTCGCTAATTGTCCTACCCTAGTGCTGTTGATATTGTGATGTGGGAAAGACAGTCAGGAAATATCCCTTAGTAACTAGTTGTAAGCTATAAATTGAATCAATACTGGCGAGGGTCCCTTACACATGACATCTAGTAATATATAGATTTAGTCAAGGCCAAAAAAGAAGCCCTCGAGGGATCTTTTAAGAAATGTCTTTCTCAAGCAATTAAACTTTTGCCGTAAGCAGAAAGCAAACTGAATTCCACCTGATTCCACCTTAAAAAATCCTGAGCCCACGATCAATTGAAAACCAAAAACTGGTCAGCTAATTAACTTTAAAAAATACGTCACCTTAAACACACAGTATATGCCTTGGACTCCAAGCTAGTAACTGTCCCATTTCACATCTACTAACATGAAAGAGTGTTCGCACGGACGTACGTACGGACGATTTTGCCAGAACCAAAATTTCTTGAATGCATTGACTATTTTCGAATTCCCCATAATACACTCTGTTTGCTCCCCAAATTTTGTATAACTTATTGTCTTAAAATGCTCTTGGGAAAAATGCAATACTCCCAGGAGCATTTAAAAACAATGGTTTATGCAAAATTTGGGGGGCAAACAGAGTGTATTATGGGGAATTCGAAAATAGAGAATAGATAACCAATTTTTTTTACCTGTGGTGCTCCGCTGCGCGCGCTTGGCGCGCGCGAGAGCTCTGTTATGTAGATGCATACGTTACATGTATATGAAAACGTCTTGGTTGTGCAATTTTCTTCCCGGCATTTCAGTTCTCAGTCATCATATACACTACCCTGGGTGCCAGAGGGGTTTTTTTGTCTTATCTGATTCCTGACAGCTCGCCGCGAAGACGCGACTGCAGAGCGCAAAGCCCCAAGAAAAAACTGTCTCGGAAACTTTATCAAACCGTGAACACGGTTTACTTCATCTAGGTACTTCGAGGCGGACCTCTGGAGTCATGGCACATATACAAACCTTTGAAACGCCTCGAGAGCCCCGCATTGTCAGAAGAAATGACACAGTCCATGACGCTACGACGAAAAGGTACATATACATGTTGATTCCTGTCAAAACAAGTTTAAACATTCGTAAACAAATTTAAATGGGAAAAAATGTCCTGATATTTTTTATCTCGTTGGTAATCAAGTGGCTAATCCAAACACAACCATTAAAACGGTTTTCCTCACACTGAAGAAGGGTCATACACCCGAAACGTCTATTTTTTAAAAAAACATTTGGCACTCTGTTATCATTTTTTTGGGGGAATGTCACCTCATCAGACGGCATCAGAAGGCATATAGCGCAGAACGGAACATGCTAGCGCTATTTAATTTATCGACCAAAAATAAACCATTTATAAACGACTTTGGCGCTTTACTGATTGTCTTAAGCTAGGGTCTATGCTAAACATCGTCAAAATACTCTTTCCTTAAATGTTACTGAAATCTAGGGCTATCCTAATCCTATTTTAAACATCCTGGAGCGTTATACTCTGTGTAATAGTAACACACTTAATGAGATGCCCGCCTCATCGCTCATGACTTAAACACTGCAAGGATCATTCCTAGGTGACCGTAATTACTTTGTTTTGTTGTTGTTCAGGGATAGTTATTAGTACTTAGCAGCTATACAGAGATCGCCCCATGTAAGGGAGTCCAAGACCGTCTTGGATTCTGGATTCCACGCCATGGATTCCGGATTCTTAGTCAGTGGAATTTGGATTTGGATTTGGATTCAGGATTCCAATGGTTAGTGAGATTCCGGAGTCCTTTAGCTGTATCCCGGATTCTAAATCTCAGGATTCCAGATTTTAAAAGCAAAGTTTCCCTGATTCCCAATTTCACAAGCAAAAATTTCTCGCATTCCGGAATCCGGATTCCTTATCAAGGGGCAATATAGAGACTAAGAAAGAACCGTAGATAAATCGAAAGTAGGAGCGAAGTTCAATATAGTGGTAGTATTACAATGATTTTCATGCAGCAAATCATTTGGTATGAAATAATGTGATGACGTCATCTTCTTACCCGTGCTATTGTCAATATCATCTGCAACGTCTAATGTGTCTCTGTACCAGTAGTACTCGGCTGGACTGCTTTTTGCACACTCTGTCACATCAGTTTTGGTTCCATTAAGGTCTACAGTTGGACATGCGCTCCAAAAAAGTGTCCTTCTTAATGAATGAACGAAGTAGTACAGACACCATGCTACAATGTAATTGTAATAAAAAATCGTCACCAGGCTCATCAACGCCGCAGAAATGCCAATCCCCCGGAGACTGGGACTGAGATCCTTCCATGATTCGACGACCGAGTTACGACCCAGTCTTTGACCGACCGCCATCTCCAAGCAGAGCAAGGGAATTCCCTCTATGATTAGCATAATGAAGTATGGGATGAAAAATGCTCCTTTAAAACAACACAGAATAAGCAACTTTAAATGACCAGACTAAAAATTAACACAAGTAGCAAGTTGACTGCCTATATTCGAACAGTTTCGGAGAAATGTTAGTCCTAAACAAATATTACGCCATCGTTCTGTTCCCTCCTCTCTCCCTCTTCCTTTCTTCCGCCTTTTTCCCTTCCATTCTTCCTTTAGGGCTCCTCCCCAAGACTGAACGCCTTTAACAGGCTACAATTCCATGGTCTATAATCTCCTTGACCATAACTCTCGACCAATCAGCCCACCAAAAAAAGAATTGCTCTGTTTATTGTTAAAAAGAAAAATGAAAAAAAAAACTTTTAAAGCAATTTTGGCTTGGACGAACACGTCTTCTTGTCACCCCCATATTTTCGTTTTTTTTTTCCGTTCAACAACTTTTAATACTTTTTTTTCACACTTAAGTAACGAATACAAAACCTTCAAATTACCTCTTAAAACCGCTACAGAGCTACAAAACACAATACATCCAAACAAATTTCATTATACACTACTTAGTTTCTCACAGCCGTTAAAAATATTTTCGGTTCCTTGGTACGTTTAATTTGTTCAAACCTTTCTTAACGTTTTCTCATGCTGTAAGTATTATTAATTCTAAGGGGGCAGTTGGCCATTCCAAAGGGCGACTGTCCGAATCTGCTACCATTCTTACCGAGGAGTTAGCCTTGATAGAAAACCGCTTTAATTGTCCTTAGTAGAGAGACTTCTTACCTCCCCCGTGCTTGAAGCAAAGCTGCGGAAACCTGATGACATTTCCAACTCCCAGCAAATATGTGAGGACGGCCACAAAATAATCGCCTTTGCTTTTCCAAGGTTTCTCGGGGTCTCTTCCTTGAAACACACAGTTCAGAGAAGAACCACAACAGTTTAAATTTCCAGAATTAGATCGCCGTAGCAGTGATTTCACGCCGTTTACCCCAATTTGACCGTAAGGAGTCCCAGGCTTAGAGTTCGCACCGTTTGCTCTAATGTAATAATTATTTGCATATTTTCCGTTCAGTGGTAGGCTCATTCTACCCGCCTGGTACACAGCTCTGTTTTGTGATCCACTTGCACAGGTTTCATACACAGTTTTCGTTAAGTGGCTGCTGGCTAAGGTACTACGATTTGGAGGTCTAGCATCTCCCCAGAATACTTTGCGATCTTGGCTCTGTTGGCTTGTCGAGGGAATGTTGTTGCGCTCTCTTTCGGGGGCGTTACTCTTTATTTCCGTTCTAGGTTGATTAAAGGTCTTGTACTCGCGAGTCTTCAACGGAAATACTTCACTCGTGCTGACACTGTCTTGAGGTGAAAGATTAGTCATCTTTCCTCAGTGTAATGTCTCAAAATGTTTTGTCTAAAAGAGAAAAAGAGCTCGTCAAAACAACGACGGCAACAGGAGCAACTTAACACAACCATTTGCGACAGAACTGATTTAAGTGTAAGATAACAAAACTATGTTATAGTATAACACACCCTATTCTTTCAATCCAACCAAAGGATTTAATTGAAGGGAGTTGTTTACAGTTAAGCTTAGACTGTTACAAAGTTTCACATCTGACCAAGCGAAATATGCCATGAACAGACAAATTGTTAAGATATTCTGACTCATAACATATAGTTAAGGTGTTTCGATACAGTTTTTCGCAGGCCATACCGATACTTTTAAATCGCTTTGAAAGTGATTTATCCTTATACGATCGCTATAAAATTTTCTCCACTGACTGATTTTGGACTGAAGCTTGTGAAAATGTAGTTTTAGGTAAAATCTATATCACTATGACAACAATAAACAAAAAAACTTTGAAATCGATAAAAGAATAATTTTGCTGAAAATGCGGCACCAAGAACTTAAAGTGTAGTGCATAGCAAATAACCTCCGTGAGAAGTAAACAATTCTTATGTTTGAATTCAGATAAAACGTAAATATATTTCAAACCTCTCATTTTCAATAGCCATTAAAAATTGATTAGTAAAAAAGTTCTAAACGACTCAAATTAATCTTAAGTAGCGTCAGAATACTGCATAATATCATTTTTTGCTGTTTGGAAATTCTGGTGTATTTTCTTTCTTGCGATCCTGAAATCTATAGTAACCTGTTTTCTCACCGTGCAGGCAGTGCAACTTTACTTAAATGTTGACTTTTCCTGCTTTTCTGTATGTCTGAAACGGCTCGACAAAATTCGTTTCAAACCTCATCACATATTAAATTTTGACGATCTACATGATAATGTCTGAAACTTTCATTAAGAAAATTTCAAGACAAACCGAACCGGCCAAAAATCTTCGATTTAACATTCGTTGTTTAGACGTTATGCTAGTTTTTGAAATTAATGCTCGCCTTACATACCTCCATGACTCAACGAATTTTATTGCATCTTTTGAATGTAAAGCATTGAAAGTATTCAAATTGAAATATACTAATCATGGAGGTATTTATGGTTGCGATATAATCTCACTGGAAAAATTAACAAAACGTCAAAACAGTGAAAGTTGTAAAGCGGATTTTTGGCCGGTTCATAGGCTAGGTTCGTCTTTAAATTTCAAGTGAATCAATTCTAATGAAAGTTTCAGACATTATTATATACATCGTAAAGATTATGTGATGAGGTTCGAAAATAATTCTGTCGAGCTGTTTCAGAAAAATACAGAAAAGCGCTAAAAGTCAAAATTTAGAATAAAGTTGCACTTAGACAAGTGGTGAGAAAACTGGTAAGTTTTGAGGATCGCAAGAAAGAAAATACACTAGAATTTCCAAACAGCGAAAAATGATACTCAGCAGCATTAAAACGCTGTTTAAGATTAATTTGAGTCATTTAGAGCTTTTTTATTAATCAGTTTTTCACGGCTATTTAAATTACAAGGTTTAAAATATTTTTACGTTTTATTTGAATTCAAACGTACAGAATTATAGCAGGTCTAGATCGCGCAAAATTGGGCTTTTATCAGTTTCAAAGTCTTTTTGTTTATTGTTGCCATAGTGATATCGATTTTAATTAAAACTGCATTTTCACAAACTTCAATTCATGGTCAGTCACAGGTGAAAGTTTTATAGCGATCCGACAGCATTAAAATCAGTTTAAAGCGATTGAAAAATATCTGTATGGCCTCCTAAAATATGTATCAAAACACCTTAAAATGAAGACACAATTTAACTTCCGTTCATAAATCAGCGGTCACTTCTCCTGCCAAATTTCGTCTTGATGCGAAATTTTTTAACCAAACATGTGTAGAGAATCGCTATTCCGACAATGGTCTGCCACACGCAGCAATTTCAGTGACAATGATACGCTTTCGCCCTCGAGTTTGACTGCTTTATGGAGCCAGGATACCAATGTACTGATTCTACCTCGTTTTAAATAGCTCCTGCCGGTTAGAAACTGTGTCTTGTATCTGTGGGGTATCGATTTGTTAGATGGTATGTGAAATAATCAACAATATTAATTTCAGACTCATATGCAACGATAAACATAACAGTGGCTACTCAGTTACTCAGTGGCTTACTGCCTTACTCATAAATTTCATGAAATCCATTAACAACCTTCTCGTCAAAGACTTTTTCTCACCACAATGAATGCTCAAAGTATCATTTAAAACCACAATAAAATCCCTGTGACGCGATCCTTGGTTAATGGTTTGTGCGTAATGGTGTTGTTTTATTTTCGCAACATAGAAGAAAAAAATATTGCTAAAACAAACAGGGAATAGATTATTTATACCACAGGCATCCTTTGAATTCAGCTGCTAACTTGACCTAAACCAACCAACTTAACTGAAGGCTGGGCGATGGATTATTCATCGTTCATCTTGTTTTGCCTCGTGGAATTGATGCCTTGTTACGGTTAGACACACTAATTTTAATATTTATTGCAAATGGGAAAATTTATAACACATCGAGCTAAAAGCACGTCAGTTTGTTTACCTATGGTCCTCCTCACCCCCTTGGAACTCCTTTAATATATGTTTTGCTTGCAAGCTCAAATGTCACCTTTACTGACGTGAGTTTAATTTCTTGGCAATGCTACCACGTAAATTAAATTGCGGGCATTATAAGAACGACAAGAGCAAATAATCAAGCGAACGACAGATACCATTACAAATGATAAACTCAAACATTCGCTTGAATAAGCGCGGATTTGAATAAGCGAAGAATCATTATCATCCGCTTTTGGCGAACGATCTATTCAGTGTACGCGTTGGATGTGAGTTGGCTATAATGATCTCATATCCAACAAGCGCGAGTGGAATAATTGTTTTATTAAAAACGCCCACAAAATATCGAGAATTCTTCCTGACTTTATTTGTAAAAAAAAACAACCAAATTTCAGCTTGTTTTTAATTTTGAGCAGGCGTATACAGTCACCATATTTGGAGAGCATGGTATAATACCTCATATACCATGACGGCTAAGCCAATCAAAGCTCTAGAATTACATTATCCAATGATTCAATTTTGTAATTTTTCTCAAAATCACCAAAACTATTGAGCGAGGACCTAATTGATCCTTTCTTGCCAAACGCCAAAGAGCCCACAAATGAAATGAGCAAAAAAACTGCATTACCAGTTTAATTTAACATAACAAAATTTTGTAACTTCTAGGTCGGTTCATTTTAATAATTGCCATTTACAGTAAACATAAAAAAATGCAAGTATATCGTCGAACTTGGTTGTGCAAGAAAAATGGGAAACCTACGTTGAGGACAGCTTGAAAAACTGAACGATTTGAGCCCGATCACTTCCACGGAAAGGAAAGCGACGAGTTTCATTATTTCAAAAGAGACACTCTTAATTTATCAAAAATAATATGAAAACGACTTTTTATTAGTCGATGTAAAAATTGACAACAAAGGCGTTTTATACGTCGCTTGTTTGAGTGTCGTCACTTTTACGGCACACGCTAGGGTGTGATCTAATGCTGGCTCTTTGAAGAGTGAACTAACTCTAATTACTTTCCTTTCCTGGTGAGGAATGCCGACTTACTCGGGTGCCTATTACGTCGAAAAGCCCTCACTGCGTACTTTTCATTAGTTCACGTATACACGCTTTTTTAAAACATTATAAACAAATATGAGAGTATATACCCCTTGATTGATGTACCTATTTCTCGAAAGTTTTTCTTTTTTTTTTGTAATGCGAGTGATAAATAAATGTATCATTTACCTGGCTTTTACCACTGCAGGGAAAACTTTGCGACGAATCAGCTATTTTAAATTCTTTGGCCTTGTAATGACACATCCGGAGAGCGTTGATGTTCTTACTTTATAGCCGCCAAACGGGCGATTGCAAGGCTTATTGATCTCCCTATGAAACTTCTGGTTGGCTAGAAATAATTTAATACCAATTGGGTTTTTCCCATGCCCTTAATAACTTGCTTCAATCAACAAGCCGACAAGGTGGTAAATATCTTCAAATATATACTTTGTAAAGTAAATTCGGCCGTTTTGTGTCATGACGAAAAAATAAGGTCGGATGGTGTAAGTGTCATTTTTGGCAGTGTTTGGTGATCACTACTCACTGCCAGTGTGGTGACTTCTAATTTGAAACTTACGAAAATACCCTCAAAAACAAGTCAATTGCCAAAAATTCATTGACAGGAAGGCTAAAATCATTTTTTTTAAACGATAGTCAACTCAGCTGGCTTTTTTATACTTTAGAGTTGATTCACTCATTTGCATGCAATTTTCTATTGATAATGATAATAATAATAATAAAATTCAGTGTTATGACTAAGAAAACCATTAGCTGTAATTAATGCGAAGACAAAAAAGGGTAAAAATATAATTGAGTCGATTTAAGGGCGCCAATGTGGATTTCATGCAGTTAAATCACTTTAAAGTTGCCTACCCAAACATTCGTATCGAATAAATATCAAATTGTTTTCAATTAACAGAATTCACTTAAGATAATCTTTTTTAGATATCTCTACAAAAAGGTCCTGAAAAAATTAAGTGACCGTCCCTCAGTCAGATAGTTTTACTGCTCGGTTTAACTGACATGATCGTTTGGCAGGCTTTCATTGACTCTATAAAAAAAATCCTGCACCAATAACTGCAGAACGATTTAGTGTTGTCTAGACAGCTGACAAACGCTGATTAAAAAACCTTTAATTTTAACATTTTTGAAAACCTATCTTGGAAAACTCATTTCGCCAAAAGTGCGTTAGTTATTTAAAAATAACTAAATTTATTATAATCGAAATTATATGTCGTTCTTCTCTATTTATAGGGAATGGATTACAGGCATAAAATGCGATCATTTGACTCTGTTAGTTAATGTTACAAACTCGCTTGGCAAGTTGCGACCAAAAAAAATTACTGCAGAGAGAAGAGTAAAGCGGAAGCTTCTCATTAATTGGAAAATCAGCAGTAAAAAACAATCATAGATTTCTTGTTTTGTGCTTCTACCAAGGGCTACTAGGGCACTAACGTACTCGCTGTTATACTACTCTACAACCAACATATTATGGTATTATCTGTTGATGCATGTGTACACTAGCTATGAAAGTTTTCTTATAAAACTCAGGAAAATCAAAGTTGTAGTACCGAGCAGCCAGAACAATAAAATAAAACACTTTGGAATGCCAAAAAGTTATTAAGGAACTCGAGAAGGCTCATGGAGTATCAGGAACCGTATAGAGATGGAAAGTAAGTGGATGAGATAGAGAATGCTCACTAATGAGTGTAAGATGGATGAGGTGTGGAATATATGTTATAAGGGACATGTTACATGTTTGACTTATCACTCGATCCAAGCTACTGCGGAGCTTCCATGCATATGCCATATACTACCAGTAAGTGTCAAAGCGGGTGGAACATTTCGGTTTATTAATCTATTCTTTTATCAAGGAACGGGAAATCTTCACGAGAATAGGTTCTTTGATAGGTTCTGATGACTCTGAACCCAATGACGAAGTTGAACGACCATCTCAGAGATGAATAGGAAGAACCACCTTGCCTTTTTTATTCTTTTTGATTCGCCATCCGCCATTTATTTTTATTGGATGCTGAAAATTTTGTTCATTGTGACAAATTGGCTGAGACATTTTGAAGTGTCTTGACTTCCGCTAGCAGATAAACCATAGTACAAACAGTGGGTATGAAATAGTAGCCATCGTATATGAACTATACAAGTAGTACAACCAGGAGATATAGAGGATCCATAAAGTGGTATAACCAAGAGATGAAATCCTCTACCGATATGATATTTAAAGGGGCTATGCTGCGAGAATAATGCTGTTTTGGGTCATATCACTCTTGACTGTATGTTCACAGTCCCCCACTTTTTCGTAAGGTGGTTACCGGTATGGACGGCAATCTTGGTTTCATATTTACCCAGGGGGCGGGCGTCGGGGTTTAAAGCGTAAGCCAAAAGGGAGGCGAGAAAAATATTTTCCTCGCTTCCTCCCAAATCATCCCCCGCCCCCTAAGTAGTTTTGACACTCATCCAAGATGGCTGCCAGTAACGCAAATCGCTCGATCTCAACGATCTTACAAAAAAATAGTGGACTGTGAACAGTCTAGGTCATAACTGCACTGAAGTCATTTCTTAGTGCCTCTACCTATACACAAAATGCGCCTGCAAGGTTATGAAGAAGGCATCAAACAAATTTCAGAAGGGAACACTAAGCATGATTATTTTTTTTGGTGATTTTTGCAGGCATAGCTTAAAACTTGAAAAAGTTTTCCCAATCTTTTCAAGTTTCAATCTATTTCCATCCTTGCCATCTATAGCAACAGACGGCAGGAAACAGCTTCAATGCCTAAACTGATAGTCTTAAACAACAAAACTGGGCCACTATTTTTGCAATGCAATTAATGCAAAGACACATTTTAGGTATTTAAATTAGCATGACATAACCTCTTTAAGGTAATACGATGTTGTTTTTCCATCCGCACGACAGCTAATTACTTTTTTCACATCTAATTACGATAGTGTTTTCTGAGGGATCACGAATTGCTCGTGTAACCGTTTGGAAACAAGTGCAATCTTATCTCTTACTCATCAAAAACATGCCATTTTAAGCCCATCCAATTTTCCAAAACAAATTTCCAATATGCCTCCTTATTTACGCCCTCACCCACGATAAGGCAAAAAAGCTGCTCACTTTTATCTCTATGAGCTAAATTAGAGTTTACGGGGAAATACGCAAACACTCCTGTTTAACGTTCAAAAATAGGTGTGTCCAGAATTAATGAAAATGACGTTTCACTTTTTCCACTTGTTCTAAAGCAAATTGAAGACAAAATTAAGATATACTTACTGCTCAACTCCCGCAAATTATCGGATCTTTTTTTTCGTTACCATCCAATCAGTTTTATTTTTCATTAAAATCCTTTACTGTTTTAGATGAGCTTCTTAGCTTGCGTATATGTTTTAGCCTAATCAACGGATAGGCTTTAGTCGGCAGTACTACTGTCGTTTTGTTATTGCTTCATTGCTTATGCCTCGATTGACACGATTCTACGCCTGGATTATTATTTCAGGAGATCTCGTTTTACGAATGGAAATTGTGCATTTTACTTAAACGTCAAATTATCTTAATTGAGGAAAGAGTGACCTCAGAAATACATTCTATTTCACTACATTTATACAAGCGATGCGTTAGTTTTTGGTTATATATTTTAGTCAAAAAATTATACACATAACGTTTAGTTGCAGCTCAATGACGAAAGTTTCCTATTTTGTTTTGGAGGTTTACATGATTAAATCTTCATACTTTTAGTTTGCAACTGTTGGTTTTTGCATTAACTCAGTCAAAAGCTTTGTTTCTAAAGATTTCTTCGAACTAGCTGTTAATAAGTATTTAATGTAACTACGAGGAAAAGAGGCGTACCTTGTAACATTGTAGATTTGCTAAGTAAGGTCTTTAAAGCTGCCGAATTGGCTTTCCAGTATCATGAACTGGGTTGTTTTTCAGTAACAACTCACAGCTGTTTTGACTCCTCGTAGATTAATTTGCATGTGAAATTTATATTATATCGAAGTGTGCTGTGTGTCTCAGCAAGATATGGATTGTATGGAAAGCGATTAACATTTCCGGCGGAAAAGTATCGGTCATTTATATTTCTGGCCTGTCGAAGCGTTCTTTTAATTATACAAGGAAATATTTTGCTTTTTTTTGTCTTTTTGGGCGATTTTAAGACAATTATTTCACATTTTTCCTCGATCTTAGTCGCTTATTTCAGAAAACAAACATGACACTTTGAATCGGAATTGGTTTTCCCTGGTAATATCCGTTGGGCCGAAATTAAGTGATGTAAATCAACATGTCCGGCCTCTGACATCAGATCGAGAATTTTTTTATTGATTTGTAGACATTTTAAATCTTTTTTTTGTGTAAATTGCCTCTATATAATGTTTTCATTTAGAAAGACTGGCCAAACTTTGAGACGGAATGAACTTTTTTAGCAGACCTAGAACGATATTGAACAACTGAGAGGCAGGGTACACTGAGCATCGAATTTAAAATCAAGTACTGTTAAACATTCAAATAATAATAAAAAAAAAACTTTTCAATATTGAAATAGTGAACATATTTCGCCAGTCGCGTGGCCCTTCCTTTTATACATCTACAACTTTACAACCCCGCCTGTTACAAGCATGTACATGTTGCGCTTTCCTTACAGTATAGTGTTACATCAAAGGCTCTCAGAGAGACATTCAAAAAAATCTTTCAGAGCTATAGTAAGGTACAGGGAAGTGAATAACGGCGATATGAACGGAGATATGAACAAAGTCTACGGAAACTTCAGCTTCCTATTTGTTTCAGTATTAAAGTACGTGAAAATATATTTGTCGCCTGGGCAAAAAAATAAATACTAAAAACCAATTCAACAGCAAACGTACGTCTTAGAATTTAATTAAGCACACCAATGATAATGTCCCTATATCTTCGATATACTCTAACTTGCACATCGTCTGATAAACAATGTTAGGACCATATACAGGGAAAAATAATTTAGACGCGCTTATTACGTGAGCGGATGCCTCTTAAGATACAAACTGTACAATATGCGAAATAACGTATTAATGTGCCTTAGCTAAGCGGGCTTAAAGCCGCTCCTTATTTAAGACGCCAGATATTTTTTGTGCCACTCACACGAGAAGTTCGAGTCTTATATTTCCTTGTGTAAATAGCCCTAAAGAAGATTCATCAAACTAGCTGTGAGGGAACTTTCAATCCTAAACTTGTGTTTGTTCTCGTTTTACCTTGTATTTTGTCAGTAAATTCTTGACAATTTTTTTTTGGCACAATGTTAAACTAACAACACGAGGTTTATAGTCGATCAGCTGGTCTTGATATATATCTCGTCTACCCACGATCATTGGCCCTTTTTCAGCCAAATGCATTTGATACAGAATGATATGCCTGACATCGCTTTGTTTACTGGTGAATACGTATAATCCCAATTTAAGATTTCGATTAATTTTACCTTCCGAAGCTTTTATGGGTTTAGGAAAGTTGCTTTAGCTTAAGCATCACATAATTGATAGAATGAAAATGAGCATCTTTCAACCCACGGGGATCACCTGTCAGTCTGTAACGTATTTAAAACGCGAAAGCAGTATACAGTGGAACCTGAATATAACGAAGGGCCCAGGGACTGGCAAAATTTGTTCGCTATAAAGAGGTTTCGTAATATTGAGCTTCTTTTCTATGTATTTTACCATAACTGGGGTAAAGAAAATGGTTCGTTATATCGCGATCGATGACTTCGTTGTATAAGAGATCGTTACTGCATATCCAGGTTCCACTGTAATAAGATTTCGTTATAGAGAGGTATACCTTCCCACATGTTTTTCTGTTACTGGAGAGGGGCCGGGAATATCGTTCGTTAGTACCGATCGAGAATCGAAATTCGTTGCATATAGCCCTGGTTCTTTAAATCGGGGTCCTACTGTAGCTGTAAACAAACCTTAAACAGGGGACCGGCCGACGGCCACAGACGCATCCATTCGGTAAATCAGGTGTAAATCTTCTCTTCGCTTTGCGTCGGCTTTTGAAGCGCGCATTTGTTCAAACAGTCGAAGAGCTGGTCAGTTATTTGCAAAACAAAACTCAATAGAACACCCGAAATTACCTTGGAAAGTCAAACTACATCTAATACCTGTGTAATTAATGGCAAGGAAATATAATACGGCTGTATACACAGCCTACCTGTGACAGTTTGTTTGCATTACTCTAAGACCAAGAATGTTGTGTATAGTGTAGTTTGGTATATGTGATTGTCCTGACTCTTATAGTCTTAGGCCCCAGTGTGAAAATTTGCGACAAATACGCTTAGCTTTCGTGTTCTTTAAGTTTGATTGTGAATTCGAACTAAATGGCCATGGGATATCCATCTTTTTTCTGTGGAAAAAAAAGTTCTAAATCTGAATGGCGGGAGAACTAAACAAATAGAAATATGAGACATTTCAGTTGCTGTCCATCGCGACAGCCAAACTGCTATCCATATTTGGAATCAGATGTGGCTGTTTTTCACGTGAATGACTAATCCTGGTCTTAATTAAAGGAGCAGCGTCAAGAATTTACCCGAATGAGATCTAACCGTAGGAACTGCAACCAAACTGGGTGAAACATAATAATTACCGGTCAGAACGTTAAAGGCTGGAATAAATAACAAGGCAAATACAATAGGCCTTTTTCAAAAATATCATGATAATACTCTTTGTAGTCCCTCCAAAATTTGGCAGATGCTTTGTTTTCAATTTCTAATTCAAAACAATGCTGATGCAAAATTTTGGAGGAACAACAAAGAGTATTATCAAAAATAGGTTGAGTTTGATCGTCCGGGTGAACGTAGTCCTGAATAGGACTGTTGTTGTTGACACTGACTGACCTTTCGACAACCTGTGCGGTAGTCATCTTCAGACTCTGAAGATGACTACCACACAGGTTGTCGAAACGTCAGTCACTGTCAACAACAACAGTCCTATTCAGGACTACGTTCACCCGGACGATCAAACTCAACCTACTTTTGAAATGATTCCTGGGTTCAAACCTTTCACAAAGAGTATTATCATCGTTTTTTGAAAAACGGCTATAAAAAGCTTGAATGGGCAGACGTGAAGAAGATTAAAATGGATTGCAATTGTGGGTTTTGAACTTGGCCTAACAATTTTTTAGAGTAGACTTTTATTGTTTGTAACGCTCGATATACTGCTCGGAAGGCATGCATATTTGTTGGAAATGAAGTTGCGATTTTGTCATTCACAAGTAATTTCCTCGCTAACGTTAAGTTCTAGGGGTAAATGCTGTACTTGTGGCGGGAGTAGCCATACGAATAAAATTACTGAGGGCAATCAGGCTAAAGTGATTTGAAATAAATAATACACAACACAACGGAGATAAAAAAAAAATCCCTAACTTGTAAGAGAGAGTCAATTAGCCAGTTAGAAGTATCCGGTTCGAGGTTTTGAAACCGGGACAGCCGACAAACAAATGAGGAGCTAGTGCCGGTCAGAGCGGGAGTGGATATCAGGACACATGTTTGTGCAACTACAACACGCTACTCACTCGACCACGCTGCCTTACTATTAAGAGTAATATTTTTTGAACATTCGCGTCATAGTCATACAAAATATCTGTTTAAAACGTGACAGCCCTAATGCTAAGCAGTCATAGAAAACTGCCGAATATGATACGAACGAAAAACATAAATAATGAATAAATAATGAAGAATTACCGAATGCACGCCCAAATACATGTGCCATATCAGAAACTGTATAGTTGAGCAACGTTTTAAAGAACTTGTTGGTTGGCACAGTATTGACAAGTTCCGCGACAACCGACTTGAAAGGCCTCGACGCTCAGTGAGTAACATATTATAAGGCAAAGTAGGCAGATAAATAATGAATGCCATAACAACTTCTGATACAAAATTTTGACGGACCTCCAACAGAGAAACGAATAAGATAATAATAGTTGGCACCTCTGAGTTCCCTTATTTATATAAAGTTTAAAATGATATAACCTTTCATCGTCCCCGCTTTGTTTAAACTGTTTTCACTAACATATTTGTAATCACATAAAGCCTATATATATAGATGCAATGTTTAAACGTCGTCAGTTAGGTGTCAACATTACAACCCATTAAAAAGGGAATTTATTACTAATCGGACTTTCAGCTTTTGGTATTAAGTGCCGTTAAAAATTAAAGAGATTTCATGTTCTACTTTTCTGGCAAAAAAAACTTTGTCCTGATGAAAGAAAGTAATCGAGGTCATGTTTTGCCCTCAGTTGTGTCAGAAGGAGTGGGCGTCTAAGACGACGAACAAGCAAAAAGTTACGTTTTTTTATACGCTAAACACTGGGAAAGGCGGCCAGGCAAGCTACAAACGTCTTTTCTGCCCACACGCAACGTAGCTCAACGTCTACTCAGACGCAACGAAGGGAACCTAAAAATGCTGCAGGAAATAACAGCTTTTGGCCTCTGACCGGGTGGAGAGAAGTAGATCCGTGATGCGGTGGTCACTTGCTCAGCAGTCGAAAGCTGATGTTGATGATGATGACTACAAGCGGGATTGGTAGCATTTCACAGCAAAGTACACATTAGATTAAGCTTATAAGGGTACTAGCCTACCTTCTGAAGTTAACCAGCTCAATTACAATGCTTCCTTCAGTCTTTTCTTATATCTTAGTAGAGGACGCCGGACATCGTGTTTTGTAACTAGTTGAATTGTACACGATGCTCTCTGCTGCCAAACGGTAATAAAAAACAAACCTCTTTGTAAGCTTACGCGCATAAACACACAAACTGATGTAAATTAGCTTCTTGCACTAGATAATGGCACTTGGCTTAAGGCCAGAAGATATCATTGTAACAATTGGGGTTTTGAATCGTGTTCTAATTAGTTTTATTGTAAGTCAAGTTATGGAGCAGTATAGCTGTCATAATAGAACTATTCTGGCGAACTGGAGCTCTCGAAAACCTGTT